ATTTGTTGGATTATGCTCTAGTAATTGTAAGAATTTCTAAACTTTACAGAGTGTAAGTATTGTTTTTACTGCTACTTTCAGACTTATACATTTCAATATAAAATAAAATTGTAATATTCACCATCTGGCTCTATAAAGTCTGTATCATATAGGTTTACACAAATGTTTTTGTTAGGGTTATTCCTAATTTGATATATTTGTTACTGATATAAGGGGGAGAGAATCCAGTAACTTGTTACGGGACTCTTGATTCTGTGATAATTATCTTGGTACATTGATTATAATTTTTTTTTTTTTTTTTGGTACCAGGGATTGAACTCAGGGGCACTCAAATACTGAGCCACATCCCCAGCCCTATTTTGTATTTTATTTAGAAATAGGGTCTCACTGAATTGCTTAGCACCTTGCCATTGCTGAGGTTGGCTTTGGACTGAATAATCTTCCTGAGCTGTTGGGATTACAGGCATGTGCCACCATATCCAGCTTTGGTCCATTGATTCTAATAGTTTGGAGTTATTCTCCACATTTTAAGGCATTAAATCACATTGTCTGCAAATAAAAATAATCTTATTCCTTTATAATAGTTAAGTTTTTTATTTTTGTTTCAGGTCTTATTGTACTGGTGAGAACTTCTAAAACAACACTAAACGATAACATCACACATTGATATATTTGTTATTTATTTAATTATTTTTAAGTGGGAATGTCTCTAACATTTCATTGTAAAAGAATGAATATATCTAATAGAGATATTCACAAAATAAACATCTGGTTACTTGTAATTCTCTAATACATCTAAAAAATTTTTAATTTTGAGGTAATTATAGATTTGCAGAGGTTTGCAAAGAGAATAGAGAAGTCCCTGTTCACCCTTCACTCAGTTTCCTCAATGGTTACATTTTATATAACTATAGTATAATATCAAAACCAGGAAATTGATCTTGATACAATGTATATATATACTTTTACAGTCATTTTCTCCTCAGTGTAAATTTGTGATGGATACTTATTTTATTGAGAGTGTCAATTTATGTAACTATGATTACAATCAAGATAAAGAACTATTCAGTCACTACAAAGATCCTCATCATTTTGTTACTTTCTCTTTTTTTTGGGAGCGGGAGGGAATGAACCCAGAACTTTGCACACATGCTAGGCAAGCACTCTTCCACTGCAATACATTCCCAGGCTTTTTAAATTTTGAGACAAGGTTTCACTAAATTGCTTAGGATGGCCTTGAACTTGCCATCCTCTTGCTTCAGCCTCCGAGGAGCTGGAATTATAGGCAAATGCTGCTACCAGTTACTATAATTTATTTATTTATTTTTTTGGTACCAGTGCTGCTTTACCCAGGGGTGCTTTACCACTGAGTTATATCCCTAGCACTTTTTACTTTTTGAGACAAGGTTTTGCTACKTTGCTTTGGGCCTCACTGTGTTGCTGAGGCTGCAGTCATTCAGATTACAGGTATGCACCACCACACTTAGCTGTCATTTTTTTTTTAAACATTTATTTTTTAGTTGTAGGTGGATACATTTATTTTTATGGGGTGCTGAGGATTGAACCCAGTGCCTCATGCATGCCAGGTGAGTGTTCTACTTCTGAGCTATAACACCAGCCCTTTCATTTTATTAATAAAATTGTTTTATAAAGTTCAAGAAACTATTGAACTATTTTTTCAGAGTGCCCATATCATTTTATATTGTCATAAACAAAGCAGAAATAGTTACATGCTCACCAGTATTTGATATTGATTCTATTACTACTTGCTATTAGCTTTTTAATTTTYAGTCTGGGGGATCCAACTCAGGGCCTCATTCRTACTAGGAAGCACTCAACCATACTTTTTTAAAAATATTTATTTTTCAGTTTTCAGTGGCCACAACATCTTTGTTTATTTTTTATTTTTTTTTATGTGGTGCTGAGGATCGAACCCAGTGCCCCACGCATGCCAGGCGAGTGCGTTACCACTTGAGCCACATCCCCAGCCCAATTATACTTTAAAAAAAATTTTTTTTTTTAAGAGAGAGAATTTTTTTTTTAACATTTATTTTTGAGTTTTCGGTGGACACAACATCTTTCTTTGTATGTGGTGCTGAGGATTGAACCTGTGCCGCATGCATGCCAGGCGAGGGTGCTACCGYTTGAGCCACATCCCCAGCCCCCAATTATACTTTTTAATATTAGTGATGGATATTGGTTTTTATCAAATTCATCTTTTGGCATTTGTTGAGATAATTTCATGGACTTTCTTGGGTCCACTGACAAACTGTATTATTTTATTAAATATGGATTTTAGTAGTAAAATATCAAACAGAATAAAAAGATCATAAGGAAAAATAATTTCTTGCCATTCCTSATAGTTTCTCAGAAGCATGCATCTTACCTATTTCTTGACTTAATCTAGGGACTCTATATATTAATATACCTGCATCCTGCCTTTCATTTAATATTTTAGAAATCATCTCATATCAGTACTTACAAATCTAGCTCATTCCTTTTAAGATACATGACATTCCACTGAGGGTAAGCCATAATTTTGTTAATCTGTGTTTTTCTTTTTAATAGATATTTAAGCTGTTTGTGTCTTTTGTAATTATCGACAACATTTCAGTGAACACTCTAGTATGTAGGTTTTTGTGCCTGGGTGAGGACTAGTTGACACTAAATTCTTGGTAGCGGAATTGTTAGGTCAAAGATATACACATTTAAGTTCTAATAGCTTAAATTGCCAAATTGCTTACAATGAGAATGAATCATTTTATATTACCCCCACCAATGAACAAGAATGTCTTTTTCCACAACATGTATCTTTTCCAACATGACATTTAAAAAATAGAATTCCACTTTAATTTTTATTTGCATTTTTCCTACTGAGATGGTCAAGCATTTTTTTCATATTTGCTTAAATGTGTTACTTGTATTACTTTTCTATTAACAGTGTGTTTATATCCTTTCCCATTTAGTGTGTTGTTTTATTTATTTATTTATTTTTTGTTTTTCTAGTTGTAGATGGATGCAATACCTTTATTTGTTTTTATGTGGTGCTGAAGGTCGAACCCAGTGCCTCACACATGCCAGGCAAGTGCTCTACCACTGAGCTACAACCCCAACCTTAGTGTGTTGTTTTAAATCAGTGTTTACCAACAAGAATACCACTTTACTATTTTCAAGAACCATGTTCAAGAATCTCCTCAAGTCGGCTGCCCGTGGCACAGGCCTGTAATACCAGCGGCTCAGTTCAAAGCCAGCCTCAGCAAAAGTGAGAGGCTAAGCAACTCAGTGAAAATAGGGCTAGGGATGTGGCTCAATGGTGGAGTGCCCAAGAATTGAATCCATAGTAYCCCCCCCCCCCCCSCMRMAAAAMAMAMAAAAMAAMAAACAAAMAAAAAAMAACTTCCTCAAAGGCAAGGGTTCCTCACAACACAGGTGTTTAGGGTTCTCTGCAGTCACACCAACCATCTTCTAACTCACAACCACCTCCTTCCCCAATGTCTGTTCCAGAAGGGCCCCTTTAGGGTCTCAACATCCCATGCCCCTTCCACAACTCTGCCTGCTCCCCCATCGCTCCCCTCTGGAAAGCTCCCACCTGTCTGAGGAGCCTTTCTGAATAACCAGTGCCTACATTGTATAGGTCCTCACCCTACTTGCCCAGAGTCCAGCTTTCTGCTCTGTCCATAAGCAGTGTGTGAGGCTGAGTGTCTTCTTCCTTCATTCACACTTACTGACTGCATAAGAGTCACTGAATGCTCTAGCCAACCCTGGTGGCTCATGCCTGTAATCTCAGCGACTCGGGAGAGTGAGGCAGGAGGAYTGTAAATTGGAGGCCAGTCGGGGCAACTTCAAGAGTTACTGTCTGAAATAAAAAATAAAAAGGATTGAGGCAGCTCAGCTGGTAGAGGGTCCCCTTGTTTTTTTTTTTGTTAAGGCACTGTTCAGACACTGGTGGGGGAGCGGTATGGATGGCCGGGTACAAGGCAGACCAAGGCCCTTCTCTCTTCTAGCTGACATTTTAGTTTTGGGGTGTGAACTAAGCTACAACAATTGAAACAAGAAAACATACAACAATTAAGAATGCCAATTTAAGTGCAAACAAGAAATGGATTGGAGCATGAAGGGAAAAGGACAAGGGTCTCCTTCGCACAGGGGGCGCAGAAGCTGAGATGGGAGCAAAGACACGAATGTAAGCAGGTTGTAAAGAGCCTTGTAGAAGCCCCGCCTGCTGGCCGCTTTTTCAACAGGTGCAGCCCTGCCCTCAGAACCCCTTCTTTCTGTTACCTGGAAGGAACTGAAGGCCGAAACCTGTGATCAGTGCAACTTCAGAGGTGTGTATGGAGTRGGGGGAGGTCCTACACGCTCCTACAGCAGTCCCTGCTTGCGAACTTGGTAAAATAAAATCAGGCTCAGCCTGGCATTAATACAGCACTCTCTACCCACCAGGGTCCAGTTAAGCACTTTACACCATTGYTACTTCATTGAATATTCACCATAACCCCGTGCAGGCTTTATGGTTAACTTTATTTCACTGAGGAAGAAACCCAGGCTGGGAACATGGCAGTAACCTGTTTCTTGGTTCAGAAAGAAGTACGGTTCCTGGGAAGGAAGTTCGGTGGTGGGATCAGGTGGGGTTTACTGGGGCATTCGGAGGGCCGCGCCGTTTTCCAAGTTGTCCCAGGCACCTCCGCCGGCGGCCCCTCGCCCCGCCYGGGTCTCTGGGCTTCAGCAAAGGGGCGCGCCAGGGCCGACGGGCTGGGGGCGGGGAAGACGCGGGGACAAAGGCCACCGGCCCCGCGCTCGGGCCGGTCAGTGGGGCGGCGGGACTCCGGGACCGGAATCGGCCGCGCGTCGGCTCAGCGAGGGGCCCGCGCCGCATGGAGGGTCGGGGTGCGCCGCGGGGCCCCGCGCCGGCCGAGCTCGCGGGCCCGCCGCCCGCGCCGCCCCCGCCCCCGCCCCCTCTCCCCCTCCCCGCGGCGACCGCTGCGGCTCCGAGCTCGGCGAACATGGCGGCGGCGGCGGTCGGGCGGGACACTTTACCTGAGCACTGGTCCTACGGCGTCTGCCGGGACGGCCGCGTCTTCTTCATCAAGTGCGGCGTGGGAACGCGGAGACTCGGGCGGGGGCGCAGGGTCGGCGGGGGSCGGGGGCCGGGGGCCGGACCGGGTCCTCCGGCGGCGGCGCTAACAGGTGCACCTCTCTCCCCTCAGTGACCAGCTCTGTTGCACCACCTGGCTGCACCCGCGCACTGGAGAGCCAGTCAACTCCGGCCACATGATCCGCTCAGGTGGGCTCCAGGTCCGCGGGGTGGGCGTTCTGGGAGCGTGAGGCGCGGCGGCCCCAAGTTTGACTCGACTTTTCTCGTGTTTCCGCAGACCTGCCCCGCGGCTGGGAGGAGGGCTTCACGGAGGAAGGCGCCAGCTACTTCATCGAGTGAGTGAGTCGGGGGCCGCACCGCGCAGCGCTCGCACCTGTGCCGCGGGGGCCGGCGGGGTTCCCGCCAGGCGCCCCGCCTCTCGCCGTCCTCCCGCGCGGGTCCGGGGCGAGTTGGCGCGCAGAGCGCCGCGGCTGCTCTCTGGGGTTTTGTGTGCAGGAGTTGTGTGGCGGGCTCCGGGACGGAGGYGGCCGGGGTCCTCATCTCACAGGGGGACCCGGGCCACTTCCCGGGTCGGTACCGCTGCTGGGGCAGGAGTTGAAAACTCCACGGCGCTCGTGTGAGGGCGGGCCACGCCTCCCCGCCGGGGTTTCGGGCTGCGCGTAGCCGGCGGGTGCCGGGACCGGACCGGCGACAGGCTGTGGTGCGGGAGTCGATCCAGGAGTCCTGTCCTGGGTCGGGGGCCTGAGGCTGGGGGTAGGAAAGGACAAAGTGACTCTCGCCTAGGGAGGTCTTCCTCTCCAATGGAGTTCTCTGGGACGGTGTAGGAGACTCGGAACCGCTCCGGGGCCCTCCATCCTCAGGTCCGGCCTTCGGGAGTAGGGTGGGGGTGGGGAGGGGAACCGTTCAATCCATAATACTCCTCAAACTCTTCAGCCCCTTCCCTTTGGCGCTGAGGCGCTGAACCCGAACAATCACTTCTGCCCCCTAGTAAAGTGGTAGCTTTTCCTCCAGTTCCCTGGAACTTTGCCTCACTAGCCACGTCACTGTGAGTCTGTAGGGTCTGAAGAAATCTGATGGCGGGGCTGTAAAGGGCACAGTCACACTCTTAACACCTGTAAAGTCTTTACTTTCCCCACTTCAGGAAAGTAAAGACGCTACCTGTGTTGTAGTGTTTCTCACTCTGCCTGCTCCCTGTGAGTTCTATGAAGTCAAAAACTGCCTTTGATCCTTTGCCCTAGTGCCTGGTATAGAGTAGGCCCTCTGTAAATGTTTGTTCACTGAATGAATGAACTAGCCAAAGGTCTGGACAGTGGTTCAACTAGTACTGGGTGTACTCTGGGGGAATATGAGTCAGAATTCATTTCTCGATTGAAACACTGTTAGTAGTAGGAGAAAATCTGGAGCCTTCTTCCCCCAAGTTGGGCTCTTGCACAGTGGTTGAAATACTGATGGATGAGACTTATAGAAGTGAGAACCTCYCACTGCTCATGGAGTTTGAAATGTAGCGGAGAGGGAAGGGAACAACACAATAAAGAGTAGACAATAATAGCAGATAGTGGTAACTATTATGCAGAAAATTAAAATAAGGTGATGTGACGTCAAGCGACTAGGTTGCTTGGTTGGATTGGGAGATTAAGAAAGGTGTTTCCTTCCTTCCTTCTTTCCTTCCTTCCTTTTTGTACCAAGGATTGAACCCAGGGTTGCTTAACGACTGAGCCACATCCCAGCCAAACATACATAGACACACACTAATACATTTATATATAAATTTATAAATTTATTTATTTTTATTAAATTTATAAATAAATGTATTTATATGTGTGTGTGTGTGTGTGAGTGTGTGTGTGTGTGTGTGTGTGAGAGAGAGAGAGAGAGAGAGAGAGAGGGAGGAGGGGACAGGGTCTTGCTAAGTTGCTTAGGGCTTGCTAAATTGCTGAGGCTGACTTCAATCCTCCAGCCTCAGCTTCCTAAGCCATTGGGATTACAGGTGTGTGCCACCATGTCAGGCTTAGAGATAGTGACATTTAAAGTAAAGTTTGGAGGATAGGAAGGTGCCATGCTRTGGTGACTTCAAGGAGACAAAACATTTCAGAAAAGGGGAACAAGCCAGTATAAGGACTTACAGGGCACATACACACACACAAGGCTTCAGGTTCAAGGAGCAAAAAGTTCAGTGTGACTGGAGGGTGGCAAAGAAGGGAGAAAGTGGCACCACAAGAGGCCACAGGTAGGAGAGAGGTAAATGATATAAAGCTTTTTTTTTTTTTTTTTTTTTGGTACCAGGGATTGAACCCAACTAGCCACATCCCCAGCCCTTTTTATATTTTATTTAGAGACAGGGTCTTGCTGAGTTACTCAGGACCTTGCTAAGTTGCTGGGCCTGGCTTTGAACTCACAATCCTCCTTCCCTCAGCCTCCAGAACCTCTGGGATTACAGGTATGCACCACTGTGGCTGGCTGATGTAAAGCTTTGTGGTCCAAGGTAATAAGTTTTTATTTAAACTTTATCCTAAGCCCAGTGCGAACTCATTGAAAGATTTTTTAAGCAGGAGAGTGGCATGCTCTGATTTGCAGTTTTATTCTGTCTGCTTTAAGGAGAATGAATTGTAGGTGGAATTGTAGAGGGAGGCAGAAGATCAGTAGAAGGCTGACAAGAGTTTACAGTGGCTGGCCTGAAGATGGAACACTGGAGATGGATGGTCAGGCTGTGTTTGGGATGTAGTGTCTGCAGACCTTCCTGATGTATTGGATGCAGTTTGTGAAAAAAAAGAGAAGAGCCAAAGATGACTCTTAGGGACATAAATACCTGAGTGGGTGCTGCCTATATCATTGAGATGGTAAGGCTGGGGAGGAGCATGTTTGGGCAGGGGAGAAACAAGATCTGGTTTTGCCATGATACCTCTGGAATGTGAAAGTATCAAATAGATGTATGAATCTGAAGTATGGAGGGAGAGGACTGAAAAGATCCATTTGGGTATAATATATATTGTTCAAGGCCATGGGAATAGATGAAATCACCTAGGATGAGAGTGTGGACAGAAAAGAGAAGATGACCTAAGCTTTGGGACAGTGCAGTGTTCAGCGGTTGGGAAAGAGGCAAATTCAGCATAGGAGACAGAGGACCGAAAAGGTAGGGGAAAACCTATGCAAGGCAAGGTCACAGGACCTCAAGGACAAAACCCAACTGGAGTAGGTAGAAGAGGAAGTATGGGGTGAGGACACAAAGTCAGTAGGGATAGGCACATTTTCCTAGTAGTTCTTGTGCAAAGTGAAGTTGAAACATTAGCTGGTTCCTGGAGAGGATGTGGATTGAATGAGGTTTTTTTTTTGTTTTTTGTTTTTTTTTTGGTGGGAAATTGTAGGCATGATTTGTTCTGATGGGAATCATGCAGTAGAAAGGGAGAAAGAGATGGAACAGTTGCCAGAGCAGTGTTTTAGTGGTGAGAGGAAGGGACTCCAGGTCTCATTGGTTTCACACAGGAGCAGGGCCCCGCATCCATTTACCAGGAGGAAAGGCTGTGAGTGCGTTCAAGTACTAGGCACAGCCTTAAACTGGGATACTGGAGGTGACAAGTCCATAGTTACAGCCTCCTGCCCTTCATCCCTGCTGTTACTCTGCTTTGGTAACTCTGTGAAGTCCCTAGTAGTTCCTTCCCCTATAGCAAGCCCTGGCTTCCTATTCCCCAAGGCTTTGGTCCTGGCTTCCTAGGCCTATGGGAAGGCCTACAAGACAGTGATAATGACATATGTTCTGTACCCTCAAAGGCAAGCCATTTCAGGAGGCTGGGACCCCACGGTAACTATTGTTATTTCCTGTCTCCCTCTGAMAATTTCATGAGAGACCTAAGGATTGGAGAGTATTTATTCTCCTTCTCCCTACATCAAAAGTGTTTTGCTTCAGTTTGCTTTCTTAGGTTTGTTGTGAACATTTCTGAACGTTTGATTTTTTTTCAGGGGATTAGTCCTCTACTATGAGTCAGTAATATTAGAGAGACAATTCATAGGCATGGCTGATTTTATTTTTCCTGATGGATTCTTGGACAGGAAAATTGTGTGAGGCTTTCAGGATGCATCAGTTGTTCCTAATGTTTAGCAGGGTTTTAATGCACTCCAGAGGCCATTTCTTAAAGTAAAAAACTCTGAAGTAAGGCAGGTGGATTTTAGTACTTTTGATTCAATTTTGCATTAATGAGGGATAGAAGAGCTGATTCTCCCAGTTCTAGATGATGTGATGCTAATATTCCTTTAGGAAGAATTTTTGTGCTCCAGGATTCTTCCACTTTGCTCTAAGTCCTTGTTAGCAAGTTATTTTAGTACTTGTGATAATATTGTCATTAACAACAGCAGCAATATTAGTTGTARTAATAATGTATTAGCTCAATCTTTTTGATTCATTAAAAAAAAATCGGGCTGAGTGTAGTGGTATACACCTGTAATCTCAACTATCCTGAGGGCTGAGGAAGGAGGACTGCAAGTTCAAGACTAGCTTCAATAACTTAGACCCTATTTCAAAGTAAAAAAATTAAAAAGGGCTGTGGATGTACCTCAATGGTAATGCAACACTGGGTTTAATCCCTAGTACCAAAAACAAATAATCAGGAGACACTTCATAACCATTGTCTAATTTGATTCTCACAAGAGTTTGGTGATATAGAGACCATGCCTGGTCCCAATTATATATGTGAAAATACACAGTAATCCCAGGCATTCCTACAGCAAAAGACAGTTGACTTTTTCCTTTACAACAGCCCTTATAGGGAGCAAGGTAGAGGATATCACCATTTTTCAGATGATGACTAGGTCCATGAAATTTCAATGATTTGACCAAAGTGTCAGAGCTAAACTAGAACTTCAATAGGTCTTCAGCCTCTACCTATAGAATAGTCTCTGATATAGTAGCCACAGTAGTGCTGGTGGTTTCTGCCTCAGATCTCAGGTGAAAGCCAGTGTCAGTACATCAAGGAACCTTATGCCCATGTGCCATTGCTAAATTAGGCTGCCCCAAGGTTAATAGGGTCAAATATCTCCTTTGCTTTTGCTGGGGATTGAGGGGGCTTGAAAGAATAGCAGCCCTTGGTTTCCCATTCTTATGGGTGCTGGCGTGTCTCTGATTTGTAAGCAATAAAAGATGTTCATTATTATTTAGTAAATGTACTTTGGCAGACAGAGCCTTTCAGACATGGGACACATGAGAAAGCGAGATTTACACTGGGCTCCTCTTCAGGGGTTTTATGGAAACTTGTAAGTTGAATTTTTCCAACAATAGACTTTGACTGGGTCCTGAGTTGAAAAGGAAGGTGAATTGTAGAGGAGGGGCATGGCTAACCTGCCTCTG